CTCACACACACACACACACACACACACACACACACACACACACACACACACACACACACACACACATATCAACTGGATGGAACTGCTCTTCCCTTCAAACAAGATCAAGTTCTCCTTACCAGCCAACTCCACCACCATTGTGTAAGGCAACCCAAGTGGCTCCTCTAACTGCATCTCCTACAAAATTCTGTACCGCCATATCTAGGAAGAAAGGAAATGAGTTATTGTAGCACCAGAATGCTTCATGTATTTCATGTAATGCTTGTTGTTACTTCACTGCTTTCTCTCCCACTTGGGGAGGGCAAAGGGAAGAGACTATTTTTTCTATCCTCTTTCTTTCCATGCAGGAGGAAACACATGCCAGTATCACAAAATGCTCTGCTCTCTCAGGATTGTAGTACTCTTTATACACTGCTAAAATGGAGATCTAAAATGAGAGGCCTGTGTAAGAGGAATTGTAGAAAACTAGAAAATAAGTAAATAAAGGTATGTCTACACTTCAATCGCTACAGCAGCGCAGCCAACGGGACGGGTTTTCCTGTCGGCATAGGTAATCCACCTCCCCAAGAAACGGTAGCTAGGTTGACGGTATAATTCTTCTGTTGACCTAGCGCTGTCTACACTGGAGATTAGGTCTGCTTAACTATGTTGCTTAGGGGTGTGGATTTTTCACACCCCTCAGGGACATAGCTAGGCCGATGCAAGTTCCCAGTCCTAAGACTTCACTGGAATAGATAAGACTTTGCAGAGACGTGGCACTTTTCATGGTAGGAACATTATTTAATTATAACTCTCAGTTCTAAGTCAGAGTTGGGTGGGTATTGTCATTTCCATTCACAAACAGAGAAACCGAGGCACAGAAGTTAAAGCCCCAATTAAAAAAAAAAGTCCAATAATTCTGGATGCCTCAATTATGGGGTCTTACACTGGGCACCCTTCAGCACAGGCATCCAAAATTAGTTGATGCTTTTGAAAACCTAGACACAAAGTGGAAGAACCAAGGAGTAGAAATCAGGAGCTCCCGATTACCGAACCCGTGCTCAGACCACCAGATCACAGCTCTCTGTTATGCGCAGGGAACAAGCAAAAAGGCCCGTGCATCAAGTGAGCCTTATGTTGAGATTTTCCATGGGACTTAAGTGTGAAGGTTTTGCCCTGAACCTCTGTACAAGAGTGAATTTAACCCTTAATGCTTAGAAGTTACCTAGAATATTTATTTCTTTAAAAATCACAACTTAAAAAGACAGAAAAATAAATTAGAGACCTGATTTTCAGTGCATGGCTTCCTCTGAAGTGCACATAAACACAGTTTACACATTAGCCCATGCAATAGGGGGCACTAACACTTGCATAATCCAATTCTAAAATTTCAGCTTTGCATGTAAATTGTAGTACATTGAAGTACACATAGAAGTGTGCACGTGTGGAAGAAATTGCACACACCAGAAGATGATGGGCTAGACCCCAGTGAAAACAAGACCCTACGATTTTTGATTCAGGAACAACAGAGCAAGTGCTTTGATTTTATGAGTTCAAAATCAACCCAAAGAAACAAACAAACACATCCCTGGAACCACATTTGCAATGTTGTATGTACTGCATATTCAGTGTAAGAACTAGCTAATGCAGCCACTGATCCATGTTAAAACCCTGTCAAAAAGCTTTCATTATGGCATCATCTTGTCTGGCATAATGTCACTTTAATAACCCAGTTAACATAATAATTACTTTGTCAGATGGCATTGAGGACAAGAGGGATAAGAGTATACACTCAACATGTAAAAACTTCCATTCCCTTCTCAGGCAAACGGCTGAGCAGAGTCAAGGTTAGGAGGGAAGCATGGCAAGCAGATTAATGCTGCAATAATTTGCAAGCCCTCTGCTTTGGAAAAGGTCACTAATTGAGCGACCGACAGCACTAAAAGACACTTTCCTCAACAGCATCTGCCTGGGCTGAGGTGACCCTGATTGTCAGACTGCAGCGCTTAATGCAAAACCAAAACAGGTGGGCCAAAGTTACCGAAAATCCCAATGTTCAGTAATGAGAGGACTTCAGATGGGTCAGTTCAGATAAACTACCATATATTGCAGTGCTGGGGGGAGGGAGGGGGAGAAGAGAAAAGAAGAGACCTAAAATGTTCCCCCACTCTCTCTGAGAGCTCATCCTTAGGAGCTTGGAGAGCTAGGGACTGATCTACAGACCACTGAAAACTATAGAAAGACTCCCATTGATTCCAATGGGCTTTGGAGGAGATCTTTCAAGGGGGTCCATATAATTCAAGAAAACAGTTTTATTAAACAGTGATAAACAAATTTCACTCTTAAAAAATGAGCCTCCATTTCAAACTGGAATCCTCAGCTATCCTACAAGTTAGTCAAATTTTGCAACTCTGGGAACCTGGTAATAATACTTTGTCCTTATAGCTCTGTAGCACCTTGCATCCAAGGACCTCAAAGCACGTCACCATCAGCAATTCATGAGACCTTGCAACACCCCTCGGGTACACAAATTATTATTATTATTATTATTATTCCCATTTTATGGTTGGAAAATTGAGGCAGAGAGAAATTTACCCCAACATTTTTGAAAGTGTGCACTGATTTGAGTGCCTCCATGTTTGGGTGCCCAATCTGAAATACTTTGGGCTTGTTTTTCAGAAGTGCTGAGCACCTGTATTTTCCCCAGGTGCTCAGCACGCTGCAAATCAGGTTCTGGGGCTCCCAAAATGAAAGGCCCCTTTTGAAAAGGGAACCTGAATGACTTAGCCAAGGTCATTCTGCAGCTTGGTGGCAAAGCTTGGAACCGAATCCAGAACTCCTGATGCTCACTGCTGTGCATCAGCCATCAGTCCATGTTCCCTGATGACAAGGGCTGTCTCATAGAATCTGAACTGTATTTTCTTGTTAATGCACAGAGTAAAATGAACAGGACTGTGTCAGTATCAATTCTGTACAAAGCATTTTTTTACACACAGGGCCTGATTCTGATCTTGCTTATACTGTACCAGGTTAATACTGTTGTAACTCCATGGAGGGTTCCTTTGATTTACACAGGTGCAAGATCAAAATCAGGTATAACGTTCATAGAATCATAGACTTTAAGGTCAGAAGGGACCATTATGATCATCTAGTCTGATCTCCTGCACAACGCAGGCCACAGAATCTCACCCACCCACTCCTGTATCAAACCTATGTGGGTGGGTGAGATTCTGTGGCCTGCGTTGTGCAGGAGGTCGGATTAGACGATCATAATGGTCCTTTCTGACCTTAAAGTCTATGATTCTATGAACGTTATACCTGATTTTGATCTTGCACCTGTGTAAATCAAAGGAACCCTCCATGGAGTTCCATCAGCTGGGGCAGATTCTACGCTCTGATTACAGTGTAAATCTAGAATAATGTCAGTGACTTTTGTAGCATTAGTCTAGATTTACATTGGTGTTACCAAGGGCCCTTCTACTTTAACTAGTTCCAGGCTAATTTCTGTAACATAATTATATCCCATAAAGCCTCCATGTCAAGATAACAGGAAATCCAATTAATTGGGATGAAAGGGTTAAACAAAATCCATTTAAAATGTTCTATAAAAATTAATTTCTTGTTTTAAGCCATTTTCTGGTTTGCCTAAACAGACGCATCTCAGCTGCTCTGCTGACCTGCACAAAAGGCTGATCCATCATAAATGTTTGAGGTCTCTCTGTAAGGACTGTCGGTGCCACTCACATCGTGGTGATCTCGACTCAGGACAACCGGTGCCTACAAAAAAACAAGGACAAGGAAGTGGAATCCTACACAGACTGTCAACTCTGTCATTCATAGACTGGTTTTTTGCAGATTTCACTCTCTGCCTTATTGACTTACCATCTCATTTCAAATCTCATCTAAAAAGAACTCGTTACTCCCCAACCTAATCCTCTTAATTTCCTTCTCCCTCTGCCACCAACTTTTATTATAACTGGTAAAGAAATGCTGACTTTTAGTGTGTGAAATCTGGTGGAGAAAATCACCATCATTTCACACCCAGAGATAAAGAGCCTTTTTTGAGAGCTCTGCATGAAAAATTTATTTTCACACTAAAAAAAAATGCAAAATGTTGCAAGTAATTGATATGAATTGACTTTTATCTGAAATTTTAAAGACTTTGTGGTATTGGCTAATCCTCATGCAAAAGCAGGGCAAAGTCATATTTCTTCATGAATTTTTGAAAATGTGAAATTAAGTATAATATCTGAGGCTATGAGAGATTACACAGATATTTTTTAAAAGTTCCACATGTCATTTTATAATTTAAGTAGAACTTTGTCATTTAATACAACTGTATTTGTAACTCTACAGCATTTAAGGAAACTATTTGTTTTTATGAAAGATTAAATCGAGGTGGTGGAATCTCCTTCCTTGGAGGTTTTTAAGGCCCGGCTTGACAAAGCCCTGGCTGGGATGATTTAGTTGGGAATTGGTCCTGCTTTGAGCAGGGGGTTGGACTAGATGACCTCCTGAGGTCCCTTCCAACCCTGATATTCTATGGCCTGGTCCACATTAACCCCCCACTTCGAACTAAGGTATGCAAATTCAGCTACGTTAATAACGTAGCTGAATTCGAAGTACCTTAGTTCGAACTTACCGCGGGTCTAGACGCAGCAGGAAGGCTCCCCCGTCGATGCCGCGTACTTCTCTCGCCAAGCTGGAATACCGGCGTCGACGGCGAGCACTTCCGGGATTGATCCGGGATTGATTTATCGCGTCTAGACAAGACGCGATAAATCAATCCCAGAAGATCGATTGCTTACCGCCGGACCCGGAGGTAAATGTAGACCTACCCTTGGATTCTATGATTCTATGCTATGCAAAATGAGAGACCTGTGAACCTTACTCACAGAGTATTCTTTATTCATATAATACTATTGACTGCAGTGGTACTGCCTGTGTGATCAAAGCTTTGTGAGATCAGGCCCTTAGCTTGTCTTGTATTGTTTTCATTGATTCTTAACCACAAATTGCAACATATATGTGTAACTTAAACATCACTATAGATTGTGAACTCTTTGGAGTGTTTGTACAGCACCTAGCACAATGGGGTCTGGGTCCACATCGGGGGATCCTAGGTGCTACTGGAATATAAATAATAAATAACAGAGCTGGGTAGAAACTGGAATTCCCATTCCACAGGAAATTCCAAAACAATTAAAGCTGTTGAGAAGTGGAACAAGAAATGAAATGTAGAAATTTCTCTTAGAACAAGAATTCCAAAATTTCATTTAGAAAAAAGTCAAAATGACATTTCATTCTGACCTTTTGGAAACGATTCCGAGGCTCCCTGAGCTGCTTACAGCCCTGGCCGCCCACCAGATGGGGAGCCCAGCAGCTCAGAGAACTTGAAACCCTGGGCACCTTGGCTCTGCCGGACAAGCTGCCTGGGAGCCAGTAGCATGGAGGCCCTGGGAGCCTGGGCTGCTGAGGAGCTGGGAGCCTGGAAGCTTGGGCAGGCTGGCGTGGAGCCAGGCAGATAAGCTGGCAGGAAACCAGACAGGATTCTGCTGGAAACCTGCCTGGTGTCCATCGGAATTTTGTCGAAATAGACACGTTCCCCTGGAATGTTTCAATGTTGTCAAATGGGCATTTTCCAGTGGAAACTGTTCCACCGGAAAATTTCCAATCAGTGCTAATAAATAATAAACTACAAATAAGGGGGCACGGACACTTAACAGCTTCCTACAGCTCAGATAAATCTTTCTTGGCTGGCAGATATCTAGCCCAGCTGATAGGGCCTGATTCTCCTCTCTCTTATGCCAGTTTTACACCACAGTAACTCCATGGACTTGGTCCAATCTGGAGTCCGTTTGCTTGCTCTGCTCTGTGCTGCCAGCAAATTATGAAGTCACTTCAAGGGCACCTCTATGTCCAGCTCATGAGAATGGCTGAGAAGGGGAATGGAGATTCTGAAAAGATGAAAAAGATACAGAACAGAATCCTAAAGGGCATGGAAGCCTGCCCTTTTCATTCATAGCTCCCAGGGCTTGGTTTGTCTGGCCAGGTTTAGTTTTTAAGACTAGCTTGCAATGATGTTCATTTTGAATCCTGAGAAGATCAACAGTATTTGAAATATGTTAATAAACATTTTCTGAGTAACAAAAAACAAACATTGCTCCATTGATATTCATTATAAGCGTTACATGAATTTGCTTCTTTAAAAATGATGATAATTCAGCTCTGACACTGGAAAGACAGAGACGCGTGATTTAACATCTTCGGGCCTGACTCCAAGAGCACTTACACAAGTGCGAATCCGGAGCAACTCCAATGAAGTTACACTGTTGTAAAACCTGTCTGAGAGGAGAATTGGGCCCTTAGATTTTCTGAGCAACAAAAAATATAAAAGATGGGTTTGAATCTCTGGATGTGAACAGCTGTCTGATTTGGGGGGTTGGTGATTAGACCCTTGAGGCTCAGAACCCTCTCTAAAACAAACACACATGCTGATTATGTTATTCTGTTGCACAGAAAAACATGCATGCCAGGCCCCATCATACTAAAATACAGGGAGCAAAATACCACCACAGCATGCAACATTTAAACACCTTTCATGAGCATAAAAGCAAGAATTCAATTTTGTTAACCAGAGGCTTGTATACCACATAGTTTTGCTGTAGTATAAAAGCCTTTATTATGCATGTACCAACTGAGCCCAACCATGAGCCCCAGATTCTTTGCAATAATAAATGTGTATTATCTACAGCAGTGCCTAGATCTAGGTCCCACAGTGCTACATCGCTGTACAATCATATACTAAGCCCACAGAGACCTTAGAAAATCCCAATATGTACAAATTCCTGTCCACGTACTAAATTTCAACAGGGTAGATTCTGCCTCCATTACTCACACTGACTAGTATCTTACTCCTGCAGTAAGGTACAACCCAGCATGCACAAAGGTGGCAGTATCAGAGGCTATGTTGGTTTCTCTTAATTTTTCACTAGCATATGAAGTGTGAGTGAATGCCGACTGTATGATGCCCATACACAACACAAGGCAGATTTTTTACCTGGGGATTAAATGTGGTATCTATGAAGACATTCTCTAGGTCAGACTCTCCTCTCATTGAATACGTTCCGGTGTAACAGGGAAGAGAATTTGACTCGACATTTTCTAATATACTTTTTTTATTATCATTGGTTGAACCGTTCTACTTCTCCCATCCCACCCTGATCTCAGATACTAAACACAATTACCATGCCGCATTGAGTGGGAAAAGCCATACCTTAATCCTTTTTTCAGCAATGGCTCGATTAATAGCCACCGCAATAGACACACGACCCTTCTGATCAGAGTACAAGATTCTAGCTTGGGAGCCAACTACCTGGAAAATGAAAATGCCAGAGTGATAAGGTTCCCTCTGCAACTGGCTTATCTCCAGGCCCCAGCGGTAGACTCGGCCCCCTCCACCGGAGAAAGCATGGAGTATTAATTTGTAAACAATCAGCTTCCAGAAATAAGAAATTAACCCCCCCCCCCATTGAACTGAGTTTTATCTACACTCACACAATGAGATTTATTTTTCTAATTAGCTGCTACAGTTTAGTAAATCCCACTTTTTAAATCAACCTCATTGTCAGGCCCACAATCCCCTATCAACAATCCCCTTATCAACAGCTGAGAAGCAGAGATTGGAACCGGTGGTGGTGGCGGTGGGCTGGAAGGGAGGAGAAATATGGAGACAAAGAACATCAAACATCTGTCTCACATAGAGCTATGCCCCCATCCATCCCTTACTTTGTGGTCTTTAGTCTGGCTTCCAGCTTTTGGGGGGAGGGGGTCACATGCTTGAATCCTGAAGTGCCTGCGGTTAACTGGCTATGGTGCTTAATTGTGCTTTAAAAAAGGAGACTCCATCTAATATGCAATACCATAGGAGGAAATAGCCCTTTCCCCACTTCTCCTGAAAAAAGGGCTACAGGACTAGAACAGCAGTCCTGAAGGGGAGAACCCAGGACAGGACAGCTCCTTCAAGGTCAGATTTCAGGAGTGGAGCTCAGGGAAAGCTAGTTATGAATAAAGTGTATTGTGAGCCTAAGTTGCCTTGTTGAAAAACAGAGATGGACTCAAGCCACAAAAGTTGGCTCTAGACCCAGTTTTTGAACATCTCAAAGTTGAGAGTGTTGGTTTGGTTCATTATGAAGATGGGGCCATTCACAACATTTGGATCTGGAGCTAGGATCAGATTTCAAACACCCCTGGGTGGAAAGAGCAGTGTTTGGAGCCAGAGTTTTCACTGGGGCCTCTTTTCTGCTTTTTGGTCTGGCCGTGTGTGAAAGAGGCTGTGCATTTACCAAGCTGTGCTTCCCGGCTTCCCGAATCCAGTGGATATTGTCATGGTATTGCTGCTTCACAGATGCACTGACTGCAAGAGAAACCAAGAAACCAAAAGGTTTAGAAAAATAAATGCAACATGCTCTAAATACTACGTAATTCATAAAACAGCTCCAGGGTTCAAATCCTACTCTCAACATAGGCGCAACAGAGGAATATAGGAAAGCCCATACTGGATCAGACCAGCAGCCCATCTAGTGGCCAGCTCCAGTTACTTTAGAAGAAGATACAAGAAATCCTGCAGTAGGAAGGTGTAGGATGAGATGTTCCAGATAATCTGAAGCGCTCTTCCAAATCCATAATGTATTGGTTTAAACCCAGACACATGAGGGTTTCCAACACTTTTGTTCACATTAACTACAACAACTCTGGATATTCTTGTTGTGCTTATAAAT